AAAAAAATTAAAGAAATACAGGAAATCCCCAGTGCACTTTGTGGGGGAGAGGAGATCCACACCCACTGATCTTTGATCCTACATGGCACCGCCCCGTCACTCTGTCCTCGGAATCGAACTTTTTCGAGAACGAAAACAAAAAAAAGGAAAAAAAAAAAACAAAAACAGCAAATCCCCATCGTACTTTGTAGGGGAGAGGAGATCGGCCCTCCGTTCGCTGTTCCACAACCACTGATCTTTGATCCTGCATGGCATCACCCCATCATCCCATTTTTGCAATTGAACTTTTTCGAAAACGAAAAAATAAATAAATAAAGAAATGCAGCGAATCCCCATCGCACTTCGTGGGGGAAAGGAGATCGGCCTTCCATTCGCTGTTCCACACCCACTGATCTTTGATCCTGCATGGCATCGCCCCATCAATCCCTCCTCGAAATCGAACTTTTCCAAAAACGAAAAAAAAAAAACAAAAAAAAAAACGGAAAACAACAAATCCCCATCGCACTTTGTGGGTGAGAGGAGATCGGCCTTCTGTTCGCTGTTCCACAACAACTGATCTTTGATCCTGCATGGCATTTCGTGATGGAGAGGAGATCGGCCTTCCGTTCGCTGTTCCACAACCACCGATCTCTGATCCTACATGGCAAAAAAAAAWAAAGAAATACAGCGAAACCCATCGCACTTCGTGGGGGAAAGGAGATCGGCCTTCCGTTCGCTGTTCCGCAACCACTGATCTTTGATCCTGCATGGCATCGCCCCATCAATCCCTCCTCGAAATCAAACTTTTCCGAAAACAAAAAAAAGAAAGGAAAAAAAAAAACGAAGAACAACAAATCCCCATCGCACTTTGTGGGTGAGAGGAGATCGGCCTTCCGTTCGCTGTTTCACAACCACTGATCTTTCATCCTGCATGGCATTTCCTGGTGGAGAGGAGATCGGCCTTCCATTCGCTGTTCCACAACCACCGATCTCTGATCATACATGGCATCGCCCCATCATTCCGTTTTTGCAATCGAACTTTTTCGAAAAACGGAAGAAAAAAAAAAAACACAAAAAAAACAGCAAAAAAACAGCAAAAAAAAACAAATCCCCATCGCACTTCGTGGGGGAGAGGAGATCGGCCTTCGTTCACTGTTCCACAACCACTGATCTTTGATCCTACATGGCATCGCCCCATCATTCCGTTTTTGCAATCGAACTGTTTCGAAAACGAAAAAAAAAAAAAA